ACCTGATAGGTTATACTAAATTATTTGCTGGTAAAAGTAGTACATGTGTCAGTATGCTTTGTGTGCTATTAATAGATTGAAGTCTATCATTAATTTTTTCTTTAAATGCCAAAGAAAGTAATCAAGTAAAGCCCAAACCCTCTTCTGTAGGTCATATTAATTGTGATCAATTCTTTTCCTATTTAGAATTATATGTAAAGCAGCATAATTCAGGAGACAGAATTTGCAAGAATGCACATTCTTGATGGTTTATTTCTATTAGCTCATCAAAATAAACAGCTTGACAACTTTCAAGACAGTTAGCTAACAGGTGTAAATTAAATTGTCAGGTGTTCTCAAATAAAGCAAAACTAAAAATATCTAAGATAAAAAAACACACCAAAACTCAAGGGATAAAATATATATCTTTACACATTTCACTGAATGGAAGCTATATAAATATGACCTACTGAAAATGAAAGTAATAATGTTATTTTGAAACACTAATCTGTCAAACAATTAACAGTGAGAAAGCTATTAATTCATTCTTCAGTCCTTTCCAGTAAACTGAAGGAGGAATCTTTACCAGGCATTTTTCTGCAGGTAGCCCCCAAAGACCTGTCTGCAGTAGAGAAAGGGCACAAAGTAAGCCACTCTGAAAATATCTGAATTTTGTAATTATGGTGGAAGTGCCGGAAAATGGAGTTCTTTCACCATTAAAAAGTGGAGAACGGAAGCACACACTAAAACAAACCCAAAGACTTAATAGGTAGCAACGCAGAGAAGAAAATGCCAGCTGCCAGATATTGTCGTGATGGCCTTCTCAGGCCCAGTAGGAAGGAGACGAGCAGGACCATAGCAACCGGCCCACCCCTGAAGCCCCTTCTCCTGTACCGCCGGTGAGTGGCCGAGTCCTCAAGCTAAGGTATCTCTTCCCTAGGAATTCAAAAAGGAGGGGCTCTTGATGTTCTAAGGGCTGGATTAAGCTCTTGGAGGTCAGTCTCTGAGCAACATGCACCACGACCGAGTGAGGGCGACAAGCAGAGGAAGAGGCTGTCACCGTGGCAGGCACAAAACTGCAGGGAGAAGAGAGAAGTCAGTACCTGTCTGCCTCTCCCGAATACTGGCTGCCGCCGACGCCATCTTGACTCCCACCATCCACTGCCCAGCAGGCGAGCGGAGCCCGAAGATGACGTGGCCGCCCTTACCGCCCCGGAAGCAAAGCCGGGGGGCGGGGCCGAAGGAAGTGCTTAGAGGCCTAGCCCGGCCCCGCCCCTCCAAGGAGACCCTCCCACGGCCTCCTCCCTCGGGATAGAACTTGGAGCTTCAGTAACCTGTGCTGTTTTTCAGCGGCCAAATAGTGTAATGCTTTTTATCCTATCTAATCACACTCTCTCAAATGGTAGCTACCTTAAACTCTTAGGGTAGGAGGATGGTGTACTGCTAAGAACGTATTAATTTCTGAACTGTTAGCTTGGTCATTACCGAGTGATAATACTCTGGTATAAGAATCACAGGACTGTAGTGAATGAAGCACCTGAAACAAAGTAGACAGTTTTCTAGTGCAGCAGGAGTCTCGCCTGTGCTCCCTTTTCCAGGAAAACAGCTTTCGGAGCACTACTCTAATCTGGCAGATTTCTCAATCTAATCTCTTAAAGCAAAACTGGTGTTTTCCCTGGATGGACACAGAAACCAGGAAGGTACAAAACGGCAAACTGGTTTTTCCTCCTTCCTTGTAGTAATTGCAAAATCACAAAACATTGCTTTGGGGGCAAATCGGGTAGTAGTGCCAGTGTTTTAATGTACACTTGAAGCCATGGGATCACAAAACGTATCCGATACTGATAATTTCTAATTTAATCCATAGATTTTAGTGGATGTCAAAAATGCATACACAATGACAACTCACTTATAGCATGTTCAACAGAGTTCAACATGCTTAGATGTTGCATGTTAATTCTGAAGTTGCACCAAATTCTGAAATGAAACCAGACTCTGCCTCAAAAACTTTCAAAATTATATAAATGAAATGAATTGTTATCCTAACAATTACAAAAAAACAAGATTATATTCTATAATACACTAGCTATACTATACTTCTTAAATACTAAAAGCTGTTATTTTTGTGAAATTTAAAACAGGTTATCATATTTTTAACTATTAGGAAATTATTTTAGCTATTAAGAAATGCCCTAGCATTGAGCTTACATTTTTTACCTTTAAGAACTACATCATCTCTAATTTTTATAGCTACTTGGCATAATCATTAAGAAAGTAACGGGGGCGTCCTGGCTGGTGGCTCACGCCTGTAGTCCGAGCACTCTGGGAGAAGGAGTCAGGAATTGAAGTCAAGAGTTGGAGACCAGCCTGAGCAAGAGCAAGACCCCCCTCTCTAATAAAATTAGAAAAAATTAGCCCGGTGTGGTAGCACACACATGTACTCCCAGTTACTGGGGAGGCTGAGTCAGGAGGTCGCTTTAGCCCAGGAACTTGAGGTTGCAGTGAGCCATGATGAACAAGACTGTCTCAAAAAAAAAAAAAAAAAAAAAAAAAAAAAAAAAAAAAAAAAAAAGAAAGAAAGAAAAAAGAAATTAATTAACTGGGGCCAGTGCCCTGGCTTGCCCATGTAATCCCAACACTTTGGGTGATTGAGGCAGAAGGATAGCTTGAGGCCAGGAGCTAGAGACCAGCCAGTGCAACACAGCCAGAACCCCGTCTGTACCAAAACAAAAAAAAAAAATTAGCCTAGTGTGGTAGCATGCCTGTCTCACCTACTTCCAGGCAGAGGTGAGAGGATTGGTTGAGCCCAGGATACAGTGAGCTATGATCAGGCCAGGCAACAAAGCAAGGCCCTATCTCTTAAAAAAAGAAAAAGAAAAGAAGAAAATAAATTAACGGCAGTATTTTTTGGTGTTTTCTTTAGTGCTGTGACTAATATTTTGAAGGAATTTCCAATGATTTAGGTGTGTTCCAACTAAAAAGAAATGACAGTTTCTGCCTTATGGGAGAGTTTTAATTCATTCTATAGTTTCCATGGAATATAAAATATCTTAGAGCCCAATCTTGGTTCATTTGGGTATTTCCACTTTAAATGCAAATTAAATGCTATACTATGAGCCACATTAATATAAACGACTAAGAGAATTTTAACACTTATGTACATTGTATATGAATGAAATGATTAAAAACTATCCTGAGCAAGGTGTGCACAAATTTATAGAAAAATATACCCCACAGAACAACAGTAACAGTAGACAAATAGTCCCTGAAAGGCTGAGACTAAGATATTTGTTTTGTATTAGAATCAGAAAGAAAATAACCTATGACTTCAGTATATTAATTAACATAATTTACCATCACTATTTGGCTCTACCCAGATTTTTGGCTTAAATTATTTATTTTGACAAGCTATTTTATATTCATAAATATTTTTAACACAGAACTCATTTCTACAGGTTCCTGGGTGCCAGTCAAAAACTGCTTACAGGATCTCTCAAATGTGGAGAGTAAAGAATCTTGTATAACACCCAGTTTTGTGAGAATCTTAATCTTGTTAAATCCCAACAAGTTATTTTGCTTATATAAGCACTTCACATTTTGTGGCATAAACATTTATTTAGAAAACAACATTATAAAGGCCATGCTTTTTTGTTATATCTGGCAGTCTTGAAAAAACAGAAAAGTAGGCTGACATACAAACTATCACCTAGCCTAATACCTGATATACAGTAGGTATTGAAATATGTTTAGGAATTGGAAAAGGTAACAGTGAAAATCACAACTTGAAAATTGGGTCTCTTCCAGGCAATTGAAATTTTCCTAAACTACAGGAAATACATATTCAAGTAATTCATAATTAAATGTGTTTTTATGCTTTCTATTGCATTACTTGAAGCATAAAAACTAATTTAATAGCTTATTATAAAAGCAACAATGCCATATAAAAGAATTATTTGTTTATAAATAGAATCTTATTCTGATGATTTTCTTATGTCTGAATTCTAAAGGCAAAGTCACTAAGAAAGATACCTGTTACACTCCCCTTTACTTAGCATTTAGTATTGAGTACAAAAGTTCCAATAACGTACAGATGCATAAAATAGAAACCAAAGTGAATTCTCATGCTGGTAAACAAATAAAGGCTTTTTACTTAACCCAAACAAAAGATCACTTCCTCAAATTAGAGAAACTAAATATTACAAAGTATAAAATCGTAAGCTAGTTTTGATGACATATTTTAAAGAATCTTTCTCGTAAATACTAAAATAATAAAATGACTAAGTACAAGAAAGGTAGAGAATTGTATATAAGGTCTTAAGATAATGTTTCCATACTAAAAATAGTTTAAAGTCTGTTTAGAAACAATGAATACAAAACTAACCAAAACTATTAAGAGTAGATGCATTATAGGTCAATTATGGTTTTCCTCAATACTGAGACCAAGAGAAAACAAGCTTAAAATATACAACATTTAGACAATTGAAATATTTAAGAAATACATAATATTTATAAAGGCTTATAGCATAATTCCTTTTTAAAATTCAATGTCAGTAAGAATCATGCACTGGCTATACAATGAACAGGAAAAGAACAATTATAATACCAACCATTTGACAAAATAACACTGTGGAAAATAAATAACCTACAGATTTCTCTGATGTGCCTTGACTACACAAATTAATCTAAAAATCATAGTAATGGAACATCCTTCCAACCAGAAAACATTTTGCAATATGAATATTTATGCTTCACTTTAAAACACAAACGTCCTAAATTATTATTTACACCATCATATCACTAAGGCCCTGTCTAAATCTACAATAAGTAAAATGAGGATTTGGAAGACTGTTTATAATGTAGTTGACTTAAGCACACTGCCTCCCACCTGCCACCCACACCTCAGCAAGAGTGCGAGTGTTGTATCAGCCTTAATTACCACTGTAGGGGGAATTAATTAAAACTATAAACCAGAAAATGGCTTTACTAAGATTTTTTGTGTTATATTGGTTTAATGACTGTTTAAATTTTATAAAATATAGACAGTTTAAGAAACAAAATACCCAATTTATCAACACATTTGGAAAAAAGCTGTACGGTGAATTTGAGGTTTATATTAGATATTCAAACTTTTCTTACTCGATCCTTTAATTACTTTAGGTAATCCAATAGAATTCAACATATGATAAAGAAATACATTGTTTGATGTTTTCAAATACTTAAAGTAAAACTTTAATTTGCTAAGTCTGTTAGGAAATATAACTTGAAATATATATGAGGTAACAAAGAAAATTACACTAGCATTATGTTTTACTTTTCCTTTGGTGGTAACAGATGTATTATCTATATCAAATCAATCCTGTTATTTTTCTCTAAAAATATCAGTAATTTAAGGATATTTCTTGGGAAAAATGAAAATATGACAATAGCTGATACCTGCTTTGTGTACTAAGAAGAGTATGCTTACAACATTTTACCTCCCATAATGAATTACCTATCATAAGCATTTACTTTAGTGGAAAATTGGGACTTTATGTCATTTATATTTGATAAAAGATTAGGGACATTAGATTTTTTCGAATTTTTTCTTTTTGCAGGAGTATAAACATGCAGACGTGTACATATCTTAACATTGTTATTACATGATTTCTTGTTACTTTTAGGTATTCTTTGACATTTAGTAGCATTAATAGAGTTTAAAAATAAAGGAAACATAAGTAAAGCATTTATAGAAGGACACAAAGAAAGTACTTATCTCTGTGTGGTGAGATTTTAGAGTGGGTTTTTCATTCTGTCCTTTTTACTTTATTTACACATTGCTTATATAATAACAGATATCATTCAAGAGCAAAGAAGATAACTGTATAATGCTATGGTGCCAGCTTAACTAACATACAACTATACTGATAATAAATAACTGTTAAATGATCACATCTATCACATGGCAATCCACAGAGATCATTTAGATACTTAAACTGATTATGGATCAGACATACTGAATATCACGTATAGGATACAGAAAAAAAAAATTCTATGATTAAAGCCCAGGCTTTAAAGAAAACACACTTTCTTACATATTTTCAACAACACTTTATCCACCTCAGAAGTGTTTTTAAACCTATGGAATGTCCAGATTCCAGAATATTTGTGCAATTCTGCTTTTTATATAATATTTCCTATTAGGCATAGTCTAATTGCAATGTGGGTCTTTTTAATATAAATCAGTAATCTAAAAACATATTTAACCACTAATTTAGTGCCATCCTAGAAATGCATACATAATATAACACATACCCCAAATATATGTCTCTGATTTATATAACAAGATTTATCGAATTAACTTTTCTATTTAATGCTTTAAAATAAAGAATAATTTGAAATTGCATAAAACTAGAAATATCCTGGCACCCTATAGGTTATCTTGATTTATAAAAATAGTGAGTAAAACAGCTTTTATCTTATATATACCATGCTACTATACCTAATAAAGTCTGTACAACCATTCTGAAAGTATTTATATTGAAGTTTATGAAGCATATATATTAAGAAAATGGAAAAATATCACAAATTTTGATTAGTATGCCTTAATAAAAAAAATTTTTAGCTTGAATGGCCAAAACATTCCTTTATGTTCATATCATAAATTTTATTTGGCCAAGGAGCTAACAAATTAGTTGAAAAGTGATGATGAAAAGATTTCTAAAACAAAAAAAAATTTTCAATAGCAGCTTTTAAACAAGGATCTTTGTTCAAAGAAACATTTTAATGTTCAATGTAGTGAGAACTTTCTTCCTTTTCTAGTCTTAGAGTGTTTCTTATGGCAAAGTCCATATTTTCTTGAAACTCTTTATATGTATTGGTGATTGGAACTGCTAAACAGTTATTACACTTGTTTCCAACAGGAAAATCCATATGCAGACACTCAATTGAAGGAGTGGGTTTAAATCCAGCTGGAGGAATGGAACTGCAACCAGTTGCAAAAATAAGAATGTCTTCCATTGTTGTTGCAGATTTACCATCTGAAAAGTTTGCCAATGAAAGAGAAAAAGAAAGAAAAATAAATACATGCTATCTATTCATTATCATCATATACTCTAGACTGGGAATTATTAAAAGGCAGACTCCCACACTCATCTTCGGCGAACTAAATCACTAAGCCAAGTGTAGTAATAGGCAAACAGTTCATTCAATAAGTGAATCTCAAAGTATTAATAGAGGATTCATAAAATCATTTTGTCTAATTACTCACTGTATATTGACCATTTCTAGGTCATCACTATTTGATAAATTAGTTCAACAAATGCAGAGGGGAAACCTAAATAATGAAAAAACACGAAACCTAAACAAAATTTCAACTAAGTATTAAACTTTTCTTTTAAGCTTTAGTCTTAAAGCTAATCTGCTACACTGTGGCAATCATCTATATATTTAAAGTTTTCCAGAAAGAATGCCTTTCACCTCAAATTATTTAGAGAAAAACAAATTGCAAAATATAAATTTACTCTATAACATTTTCCCATCCTTTCTAACTCAGTCACATAAGCCTGCTTTGAAATAAGTCTCTTTTGTAAATATGGAGTTAGCAGATAAAAGTTTTATTAATACCAAAAGGCAAAATTCAAAGAAAGAAATATGTTGAAACAAATGTTCTGAGATAGTTAAATAAAAATAAAATATCCACATACCCTCAACAGCCTGTAAGTAACTGTTCCAAAACCCCAAAGCTTGTACGTCAGGTAATGTGTGTACTGTAAAAAGATCACTAAGGATTTTTGCAGAAAGATTCCCAGGTTTATGACAGAGGATACTACAAAACGCTTCTGGATAAGTCTGAATTTTCTCCAAAACACCAAGAGTTTTCAGACCCTGCTTAAAACTTAGGAGAAGAAAAATAATGAGCCAACATTCATACATGTATGTTTGGTATAGTATTAGGGAATTAACATTTCCAGCTAATTTATCTGGCACTTTTTGAAACAGCTAATGATTAACAAAACAAAAACAAACCCACAAAAAACTAATATATTTTTAGATGTGAGGAAAAAAAAGTATTGACATACTATATACAATACTTTCAAATCTATAGCAAGCAAATACATTAAAATGAATATTTTATTATGCCTACATTATTTGGCTTTATAGTTTTAAAATTAAGTTAATTTTTTATTAAGAGGAAAGAAGTAGATATCTGAGGTATTTTATACCTCAAAGCTAGTTATTATAAAAATTAAGTTTCCTAGACATTATAAAAAGTGATAAATCTTAATCACATAAAAATTTAAAGCTTCTGTATTGCTAAAAAGAAATGAACAAAGATAAAGTGGAAAATATTTTAATATTCATGACAGAAAATGAATTTCTCTAGTATATTCATTTCGATGAATTTTTCTAGTATTTTTTGGCTCAATAGGAAAATTGAGTCCCAAAAATGTATAATTAATAAAAGAAATATAAATAATAAATAAATATACAAGGGCTGTCTGGAAAGTATCCAGCCATCTAATATGAAAAATTATGAAAATTATGGCTGGATACTTTCTGGACAGCCCTCATATATACATATTTGAGACAGGGTTTTCCTGTTGCCCAGGGTGAAATGCAATGGCACAGTTATAGCTCACAGCATCCTCAAACTCCTGGGCTCAAGCAATCCTCTCACCTCAGCCTGGGGAGTAGCTGGGACTATAGGCGCACACCACCATGCCTAGCTACTTTTGTTTTTCTGTAGAAATGGCATAGGGCTATATTGCCCAACCTAGCCACAAACTCCTGGCCTCAAGTGATACTCCCAGCTCAGCCTCCCAAAGTGCTGGGATTATAGGCATAAGCCACTGTGTCCAGCCCAAATGGATAATTTTTAAATGCACATATTCAGTAAATAAGAAAGAGCAGAGGTATCATTTTTGTCTATCAGACTTTCTGAATTCCCTATCCACCATTTCAAATACTTTGCTATATTGATTTATGTCCCTCAAGAGGACTCAAACATGTTACTATGATTTAATGCTTTTGTCCCCTCTAAAAACGCATGTTAAAACTTAATCCCTAATGTAATAGTATTGGAAAGTGTGACCTTTTGGAGATAATTGAGTCATGAGGATTCTGCCCTTATGAAGTGGACTGTCCATAAGAATTTGCCCCTTTTTGCCCTTCCACCTTTTGCCATATGAGGACACAGTGTTCCTCTCCTCCAGAAGACACAGCATCAAGGTGCCACCTTGGAAGCAGAAAGCAGCCCTCAATAGACACCAAACTTGCTCACACCTTTATCTTGGGGATTCCCAGCTGCTTGAACTGTGAGAAAATAAATTTCTGTTCTTTATAAACTATCCAGTCTCAGGTAGTCTGTCATAGCACAAAACAGAACTAACACATTTGTTTATCTTTTCCAATTTAGAATAAGTAAAAAAAAAACCCACTTCACTCAATCCCATCTGTTTTCCTTCCTAGACAACCTACTTGAAAGCCTTATCTATATTCACTGACAAAAATTTCCTAGTTACTTTTCCTCCATTCCTGTCCACATCTCAGGATGCCCTAAGTTCATGAATGACCTCCTTCTATGGCACCAGTCTCCTGGTTACCTCCCAGTTTTCTGGCCAGAGCTTTTCAGTCCTTCTTACAGGTTTCTTCTTTAACTTGCTTAACATGTTGCTGTTTGTCCCTTGTAGATCTGTACAAGGCTATCTGTACAAGGCCATTGTCTCTCATTTATATAAATTAGACAATCTTACCATCTCCCAAGGCTTTATTTAGTAGGTTTACACTCTACAAAATCTATTATCTCTAGCCTATAAATATATCCAATAGACTACTGGGTACCATATGGATGATTCCAAGCACCCAAACTTATTTCTTATTAAGGAAGGAAATCACCTTACAAACAAAATATGAACCATAAATGATAATAAATGGCCTCCTTATCTGTCAAATTTGTATAATGAAAGTCATCCTTAACCCCTCCCTCTTCCATTCCTAACTACCAAGTCCTACTAATTTCCTTTTCTGAAATTCCTTTTATTTGCTCACTTCTCCACATACCACTGCTACCACTCTATTATAAACCACCCACAATGGAACTGTATCCTGGGTGTGCAAATCTCCAAGTTCATTTTCCATGCTGTGCCAGAAATAAACCTCAATACTGTCTCATTCACCCTGAGCTAAGTTGAATGGTGGCCCTCAAAAATAAATTTATGTCCAAATCCTATTCCCTAGAACCTGTGAACATTACCTTATTCAGAAAAAGGGCATTTGCAGATATAATCATGTTAAAGGATCTTCAGATGAGACCATCCTACCTAGATTGTTTGGATTGGCACTTTATGGAATGAAAAGGGTCTTTATGAGAGACACACACACAGAGACACATACAGAGGGAAAGGCCATGTGATACAGAATCAGACACTGAAGGTATGCAACCACAAGTAAAGTAACAGCTGGAGCCACTAGAAGCTGGAAGAGGCAAAAAGAATCAATTCCCAGAAAGAGCGAAGCACTGCCAAGATTGATTTTGGACTTCTGATCTCCAGAACTGTGAGAGAATAAATTTCTATTGTGTCAAGCCAGTCAGTTTGTGATAATTTTTATGGTAGCCACAAGAAACTAATACCCATCCTGTCTGTGAAACAAAGTCCATATTCCTTACCATGGTTTCTAAGGCCCTTCCCAATACAGCCTTGGCTTTCTTTTCATCTTTCAACTTTCACCTTCTGCTTACCTTTGAAGCAAATTTCAACCACATTAAAGTCTGCCTTTATAAAATTTACCTTTAATTATGAAATATTCCAAACTTACATAAAAGGCCAGAAAATAACAGAGAAAACACAAACTATCAATTTTAAAAGATAACTTTTTGTCATGTTTGCTTATATTTTTTAAAGAAAAATTTTCTATTCACTTGGCTAAATCCTACCTAATCATTATTTTTCCTTTTCTTCCTCTCCAAAGAAAATATTATTTGAAAATATTTATCAACTGTACAGAACTTTATATTGCAGTCTGCATTTCATTTGAGTCTCTCTCTCTCTCTATATATATATATACCCCTAATAGCTAATATTACTTTACTTGTTTCGGAACTCTCTATAAAAGTATCATATTGCATATTTATTTTTCTATAACTAGCTTTGAGAGTAATTTTCACTTATTATAACTGTTAATGTATTAGGAAACTATTTCCATCACTTTATTTTGGGCAACTATACTGCCTTTAAAAAATTTTTTTTACACCTTCTTGTCAGTTTTTGTATTAATTGATTTTGTAAAATCTCAATTCACCTTGTTTTAAGTTCTTATTTTTAATAGTTCCCTCTCCTCAAAATTTTAATAGGCATTTCTAAAATGTGAAGTGCACCAATGTACTTATCTTCTTCCTGAAGAATATAAAGACCTTAGAACACTTATCATTCTAATTTTTTTATACTACTTAAAAATTATTTTAGTTTCTTCTATTATATCCCCCCAATTAGACATTAATTTTTTTGTACAATTGGTGTTTATTCCTGTTTACTAATTTTGTTACCATTCCTCTTCACTTGCAAAACTCCCTGCTAGAATCCTATTCTTACTTCTTGTATCCAGTAACCTCGCTAAACTCTTTACAGAATAATTTCTTGCATTGCATTATATAGACAATTATATAGACTACAAGTGACTTTTTTAGTTCTTCCAATCCTTAATAACGTTCACTAATTCATTTAGTCTTGTTCTGCTAGGACCTCCAGCATATTGTTGAAAGCAAAGGGCTAACTGTGTGCAACCTAGGCTTGTCTTAGTCTTAAGGGGCATGCCTACAACATTTCACCATTAAGAATAATGTTTGCTAAATGTTCAGAAGATATTCTTAAACAGTAAGTATATTTTAAAATTATAGATAAATGTTTAGATGTGGCTGGTCCAAAGATAGTGAGCTATCTCAATTGATTATTTAGTCAGTTACAGACTGAATTCCTTGTTCTATTCTTTTCCCCTTCTCACTACTGTACTTGACTAGTCTTAAAAAAAAAAATAAAAAAAAAGTTATTAGGCTCAGACTGTAGAAATTTCCCTACACAGCTGCTGTGTATTTGCTGTTGTCTGATACTATTCAAGTAAGGTAAGAACAATTAATTTGTTAATTTCTTTTTCAGATTGGGGTCCAGACAGAACTCTTAAAACAAGTTCAGGGCAAGCTGAGGGTTTTGATTTTTTCACATGACAGGGCACACTGGCTTCTGATTTCCTTATTATTTCTGACATCTGTGGCACTCTCATAAGCTCAGATATTTTGCTTCATAATGTTTTTACCTTTTACATAAAAGAAGGGATACTCTTCAATCTCTTTTCTCTTGCCTCTTCATCTAGATATATCTAATTCCTATTTATCATTAAGGTTTTAATTTAAAAACCACTTACACAGGGAAACCTTTACTGACCTCTAGGCTACTTATATCTAAGAAAACCAAAAAACAGAAATGAATGATTTTAAATTCTCTTTCTTAACAATGAAAAAAACCCATCTATAGATAGACAAACTACTGGAGGGGGGGACACTGTGTACATCTAGCTCATTAAAAGATGCATTTCAAATCAAAATTTTAACTATGTCCAAGTTTATAATATATTTGGATTGTTTTGTGTACTAATCATCATTATAAATGGTAATTCTATCCATTAACATATTTTACTACTTAAAGAATCGTATGGTCAGAGAATATCTGGGTATATTTATAAGTTACATAACAATGTTAAACTGCAATATCGACGATATATTGAAAATCATATCCTTTGTCACTATTTAAGATTATAATGCTATGTTATATTTTAATTTAGAAAAGTGCTCGGGACATCTTAAATGTCCATCAATAGGGAACTGGTTGGAAAAAACAATGATATATCCAAACAATGGAGTTCTGTATAGCTCTAAAAATGAATGAGGGATATGTCTATTTACTACCATGGAGTCATCTACAGAATATATTGTGAAGTGAAAGACAAGAAGAAAAAAAGGAGTGATTGGCATGTTACTATTTATCTAATAGAAGAAATGAATATGCATTGTTGTGGTTTAAATGCCCTCCCCCCAAAAAAAAACCTCATGTTGAAATTTAATTGCCAATGTAACAATATTGAGAGGTTGATCCTTTAAGCAGCAATTAGGTTATGAGGGCTCTGCCCTAATGAATGGATGAATGCCATTATTGCCAAAGTGAGCTCCTGATAAAAAGGTTGAATTCAACTTGATTTCTCCCCTCTTTGTCTTGTGTGCTTGCTTGCCCTTCAGCCATGTTATAATGCAGCAAGAAGGCCTTCCCCAAAAGCCAGCACCATGCCCTTGGACTTCTCAGCCTACATAACTGTGAAAAATAAATTTCTTTTCTTTATAAATTACTCAATCTCAGGTATTTTGTTATAGCAGCATAAAATGGACTGAAACAGAAAATTGGTACTAAGAAATGGGGTTGTTGCTACAGCAAATACCTGAAAAGGTAGAGGCAACTTTGGAACAGGATAATGGGTAGCGGCTAGAAAAAATTGGAAGTACAGGCTAGAAAAAGCCTGTGTTGCCATGAATGAAGTATTAAGGGTGATTCTGGTGAGGGCTAAGAAGAGGAAAGCTGTAGGGAGAAGGGAGAATCTAAATCTTTCTAGAGATTACTTAAGTGGTCATGATTGGATGTTGGTAAAATATGGACAGTAAACCCATTCTGATACAGTCTTAGACAGAAATGAGGAACAAATGAGGAACAAAGCTAGAGTAAAGGCCATTTCCAATAGTAACAAACACCTTGCTGAATTGGGTCCGTGTCCTAGGACTCTATGGAAGGCAGAATTTAAGAGCGATAGGATATCCGGCAGAATAAATAACTAAGCAGTACAGCATTCAGGCTGTTAGGGGGCTACTTTTAACCAAAGAGGAAAGAAATGATTTAAAGATGGGCTTTATAATGAAAAGAGAAACAGAATGGAAAAATTTAGAAAATTTGTAGCCTGGCCATGTAAAGAGTGAAAAAGTGAGTTCAGAAGAGAATATTAAGGAGGTGTGGACCAAGCAACTAACCATTTGCTAGAGATTACCATGGACAGAAGGGAGCTGGGTAATATACATCAACACAATGGGAGAAAGACTCTGAAGGTATTTCAGGGATCTCTGAGGTGGCCCCTTCCATCACAGGCCCAGAGCTCTAGAACCACAGAATGGTTTTGGGAGATGAGACCAGGGTGGCCTCCATGGGCCATCTCATGCCTTGGAGGTGTCCATGTGGTGCTAATTCTTCAGGCATACAGAATGTAAGAGAACTATAGGGCCAGGGCTACTTCCACCTAGATTTCAAAGGATGTCAGAGATAGCCTGGGGGCTCAGGCAGAAGCTTAAGGGCAGAATTGCGACAAGGGCAGAATTGTCACAGAGTCCTCACTAGTGTAGTGCTTAGGGAACTATGGGAGTAGGACAGCCCCCGAGATCTCAAAACTGTAGGGCCACCAAAATGCAACTCCAGCTTGAGAGATGCTAAGACTCCAACCCGAGAGCTGAAGCAGGGACTGAGTCCAGCAAAGCCCTAGGGGCTCAACCCCTGCCCCAGTGTGCCCAGGATGTGGGAAATGGAGTCAAAAGAGATTATTCTAGAGCTGAAGATTTAATGTTTTTTCCCTGTTGAGTTTTGAACTTGCTTAAAACCAGTTACCCTTTTCTATGTGCCTATTCCTCCCTTTTAGAACAGGAATGTCTATCCGATGCCTGTCTTCATCATTGTATTTTGGAAGTAGCTAACTTGTTTTGATTTCACAGGCTAACAGCTAGTGGAAATTTGCCTCAGGATGAATTTGCCCAGAATCTCACCCATATGTGATTTAGATGAGACTCTACTTTTGGGGCTACTGATATGAAATAAATATATTTTGTATGTGAGGACATTAGTTTGGGTGGAGGAGCAATGGTGGAATGGTATGCTTTAAATATCTCCTTTAAACCTCATGTTGAACTTTAACGGCCAATATAATGGTATTGGGAGACTTGGGCCTTTAAGAGGTGAGTAGGTCATGGGGGCCCTGCCCTTATGAATGGATTAATGAAGGATGAGAGTAGATTAGTTATTGCAGGAGTGGAAGAGCAAGTGAGCACACAGGCAGAAAAATTGGAAATTTAGAGGTGGCTTGCTCTTCCACAATGTTATGACACAACTAGAAGGCCCTCACCAGATGCTAGGCAGATGTTGGCAGCATGCCCTTGGACTTCCTAGCATCTATTATAGAACTGAGAGAAATAAATTTCTTCTCTTTATAAATTACCCAGTCTCAGGTATTCTGTTATAGCAGCACAAAATGGACTAAAACATAGATACACACACATATTTATCTGTTACCATTAAAAAGAAAAGTAATTGAAGGGTAAACTACAAAAAGATGTCAAAGTGGTTACTTCATAAAGGGATGAAAGATGGACATGGTAAGAATGAAACCTATACATTCTTGAATATATTTTCTATCATACAGCTAAGTTCTTTCAATATAGTCTTATAGATATGATTTTGGAACTATGTAAATACTTTGCATAGTTTTAAAATAAAATCAAATTTTAATAAAAATTAATCACTAAAAATAAAAAATGAAAAGTATGCCCACTTAGTAGTATTAACAGAGACTATTCCTAGTGACTTATAAGTACAGTAATTTGACAGTACAGCCTTAGAACAAAAAGAAAAATAAATTTTAATCTGTTTTTAGTAATATCATATGTTCTTAATGATAATGTTAATATTGTTGATCTGGAACTGCTGTTGATAAAATCTGGAATAAATCAAGTGAATAATTACCTCATACTCTAATTCTCCAGTACCCTGAGAATTGGAATTCTCAACATGAGACAAAGAAAAAGTAAAAATATGTAGTAATGAATTTGAAGTGTCAATATAGACTCATGATATAGTTTATCTTAAAAAAATCAAACCAAAACTGAAAACAAAACAAAACAAAAAACAAAAGCAAAAACCCTATTTCTAGTTTGAGTCCACTGAAAAGGACTAGATACAATGATCGACCTACCAAAAATGAGCACCCCTAACATCCAGACTGTGGATACCATTTCCCATAAAAAAAAACAGGGGAGCTTCCTTTGGCCAGAATGTATGAGTCTGAAACACCTTGTCATATTATATAGCAAGAAAGCTCTCAAAGATTATTAAGGCTTTCATCAAAAGAAACACAAAGAGGCTTATATTGGCCAAAAAGATAATATAAATTTTAGTAAGAATAATAACTATAACGGTTTTAAACACATCAAGTATATTTAAATCTGTGTGTTAGGAACAGTAAAATCTTTTTAATACAATTGAATTGATCATTTTTGAGATGATATGGTATCTGGTATTTGCTTGAAAATAATATTGGAGTCAACAACAAGGGTAAGGTATAGATGAACAAGACTGGCACAGGCTAATAATTATTAGATCTGGGTGGTGATTATATAGGCAGGAGGATGGCTTTGAGCCCAGGAGTTTGTGGTTGCAGTGAGCTATGAGGATGCCACTGCAGTCTGGTCTGGGGAACAGAGAACAGTCAGTGTCTCAAAAAAAAAAAAAAAAAAAAGGAACAGTGTGAGGTAATACTTTTAAGTTGTCAAACTACTTTTGAAGGCTATTGGCATAAAAAGTTTGAAGACCAGTGTTCTAAACTAAAGAACAAGAATCACATCTACCTTGTCAAAGAATATTTACATTATCGAGCAGATGACAAGTGTTCAATAGTTATTAAATGAATGAACAGAGATAAAATAGTTGGCTCATGTGATAAGAGTTTTTAAAATAATTTTTTCAGAGAAATAATTATAAATTGATGTAATAATTACTTCTATGAAAGCATCACACATTTATGCAATTCTGTACAGAATGTTCAGAACAGTAATCATCCTAAAGGGGTTTATTTTAAAGTACTAATCTTAAGTAGCATTTTAATTTTTTCCTGAGATAAACATTTATATTTATTACCAAATATACCTCACATTATAAGACAATTAAGCACTTTAAACATGTAATTTGAGTGAATCTTTCACACATAAACAACTTACCTTTCAAAGGGTGCTTGGACTCTCTTAATTACATGGTATACAAGTATGTCTTTTACCAACATAGATTTATCACTTAATGTTGTTGTAAGTCTGAGACATCCAATAAACTCTAGGTAGTTATAGCATTCATTTATTATTGACTTTAAGTCAGCCATATTTGTTGCAGTATTTATCTGTAATGAAGGAGAAAATATACCCACTTTACTCATTTACTTATGAGTGACATTTACATTTCATTTGACATGTTTTATTTTATATTCAATTTCTGAGTACATCAGGGTGGAGTGAAAGAATACCAAGAAATATTTTTCTAGATTATTTGATAATACAGTTCAACAAATATTGTATATTTCTGCCTTCAAGAATCTACAGCATAATACCATTTTATCACAGGAAATTATTCATATAAAAGGAAACAATTGACAGAAAAGTTATATAGCACTAGAGAGGCAAGACAGAGGACCTGAGATTTCGTGAAAGAGAAAAAGTAACAGCTGAGAATTAAAAGATGGATAGAATTTTATCAAAAGAATATTTCAGTAAATAGCATAAACAAAGAAATACTTGACCATTTATGTGCCAGACACTTTCATATAGGTTAGCTCTTAAAGAAAGGTCCAGAGGGATAAAGATAGAAATAGGAGGCAATCAATAATCTATTAATGGAAATTTTACTTGCTATTTTTTTCCCAAAACATTCTTCTCACAGAGATTTATATGATTCCCTCATTCATTTCAAATCTCTGCTGAAATCTCAGAAGTTTTTCACGACTCCTATGTTTAAAATACTATCCTTACACTCTTGTCAGAATAACAATAGTTGGGTATCAAACCAAAACATTGCCTCATCCCTCAAAACCCTCCACCATGAGTTTGACCTGAGTACACTGCCAGTCTTCCTGCAGCTAAGTGTGGCTATGGGACTAACATCTGTTCAATGGGATGTAAATAGAAACAATGTCTCAAATTTCTCTGATCTCTACTTCCACTTTCTCCCTTAAGAGTAAGAATCAACCATGTAGATGAAGACAATATCCTAAGTGATTACACAACAATGAGAGGAAGGAACCCAATTCCTTAGATGATTTTGTATATCACAACTGTATTTCTAAAATGGGCTCCATTTCTGTAAAGGGCCATATAGTACATAGAGTATTTAATGCTTTTTGAACCATCTGGTGTCTGTCACATTTATTCAACTCTGCCACTGTAGTGTGAAAGCAGTCAGACACATAAATAGGCATGACTGTGTTCCCATAAACCATTTTAAAAAGTGGCAGCGGGGCCAGACTTAGACCATAATTTGCCACCTTCTACCTTAAAATCTATACAACAGATTTTAGAGAGCAATAAACATCTGCCTTTTTTGAGCCACTTTTTGGGTCTATTTGATACAGATGTGTAGCTTAAACACTAACTTATATAAACTCCAACCATTAATGATCTCCTTTCTTTTATTCTGTTATGTTTATCTTTATAATACATTGTACTACATGATAGTATATTTATTTATCTTCTGTGTTCCCTCTAAAATGTAAATTCTAAGAAGTTAGGGCCTTTGGTTTACTACTCCATCTTCATTGATAAAACATATGGGGTACACAGTATTTGTTGATCAAATGAATGAACAAACAGTGCATAGGAAGTACAAAGACTGGAGTAGATAAAATCATGAAGAGAGTAAGAGGTCCTAAATGCTCTAATGAAGAGCTTAAATTTGTTTAATAGGCAATGAGATGAGAAGCCACTGAGGTTTCCCAAGGAAGAAAGCAATATGGTCAAAACTATATTTTTGGAAGAATGTTCTTCAGTAAGAACATTATTAATAGAATAACATCCTAATTATCTAAGCCTAGATTAAATTTGAGTTTGGTATAGCAGGCACACTAGAATTAAGAAGGAAAGATTCAAGATAAGCCACTCTTAGAGATAGCCAACTTGACATGCAACTGGAAAATGTAAGAATAAAAATGATTCTTTCTCTAAGGATGGCTTGGAAACAAGATACCTCTTGGAAAGAAAATGCAAACAGGCCCCCCCCCAAAAAAAAAATCCGGGGAAAAAATTACTTTTGTCTTAAACGTATTGTTCTCAATGTGCTAGCAAGACCCAGATCTTTTTTTCTTCTTCTTCTTTCTTTTTTTTTTTTTTTAAACTTCTTCTACTTTGGCCAGAGCAAGACTCAGATCTTATCTGCATATAAAAGTCTAGGGACTCAAAAATATATATCTATAAATCATTCAAGAAGGGCTATGGGAGACAAAGGCTTTCCAAAGAATACAGAAAAGGATTGTTAAGACAACACTGAAAAATGTCAAAGTAGATTTACATAAAACAGTAAGTAGTAGCCCAAAGTAGGAGGGAGTACAATATTAAACAAAATGTAGAGAGGAATTCTAAGAAGGTAGTAATTGCAGAAGTCAGAGAAAATGAAAAATTAGAAAAAAAAAATGTCTTTGGATATATAGATCCCTGGATATAAGCTCTGAACTAGCTAAGAGAGAGTGATGATGGGAACAGAAGATTACAAGAAGAAATAAATAGAAAATTAGAAGTGGAGACAATGGAGTTAAAGTACTTTTTTGGCAAAGAAGACAAAAGGGAAAATAAAGAGTTGGGTTAATTTAAAATATGATTTTAGAATGAACAGTCTTGTGGCAAATAAACAGAATTATTATAACAACTCACACCTCAATAATACTTACTTTGTGGTTTATAAACTGAGGCCTAATAAGATTAACATGCCTAGTCACATAGCATATTTCAGTAAAGTCTGACTTCTGAGCCTATGCTTTTAATCATTAAACCATACTACCTATTGAGATAATAGATAGTATATGCTTAAGCAGAAAGTAGGTTAAGGAGGAAAAGTTAAATGGCTTCCATTGCCTCAATTAGTTTCTGAATCAGTAACATACAGGCAATACTTATCTCCTAAAGCATTATAATAAATGTACATGTGACATGTGTAGTACAGGGTCAGTTATAAGTGCTCAATAAATGGTAACTATTTTTAGGTGGGAGCATTGAGTCCCCCCTACTTGTTTCGACATGGAAGAAATTCAGCCTGGACTTTCCACTGATCACTCATATCTCCCTATAGGAGGAAAGATTAATATTCTTACTGATGATCCAAACAAATCCTTCCACTCTTCACATCTACCTGATTGCAAGAAAGTGCACTTTTATCTACTTTCTAACATCCAATAAGGAACCTGTCTCATATTGCCTCTGGCAAGGTAGATAAATCCATCTAGTTCTGAGGAGTATTAGCAAGCCATTTTGATCGCAAATCTAAGTTACATTATCCAACTGGTTTTACCAACATTAAACTTGGCATGTTATTCTCTGACTTTTATGTCTATTTCTTAACTGGTTCTGAACTCTACTTATAAACAGAAATATTGTATGTTGACAACCTTTACTCCACAGAGAGTATTATTATTCTATTGCAGATCATTTATATTAAAATATACCTATAATGTAGTCTACATTTCAATAAATAGGTACATTTCTTACCCTGATTATAATTTGTGCCACATCAAAGTCTGAAACATCGTCTAAAATTGGTTCGGTATTTTCTGGTCCATAAACAAGGCAGTTAAACAACGTTTTAGAAAAGAAACCAGGTGAAGGACCACCATGAACCAAAGAAATGGCAAGCATTTTGCCAGCTTCATAGTAAAGATTCTCTTTCAAGGCTGAAAATACAGATGAAAATACATCGAATACACTTCTTTTATTATTATAAGATAACCATCATTTTTACTGAATACATATGTAAAAAATTAAATAAAAAAATCTAGCATTAAATATAAACAATTCTAAGTAGCTACTATCAAGTAGAAAATATAGACCTCACCTAAAATATATAAAAATATTTTTTCTGAATATAAAGTAATAACCTATTATAGAAAAATTTAATACAGAAAATCTTACAACAAAACACCTATAAATCCTATCACCACAATAACTATTGTAAGCACCTTGGTATGCAGACACGTATTATATAATGATATTTTGGCCAATAAAGGACCAGACTGCATATACAAAGGTGGTCCCTAAGATTATAATGAAGCTGAAAAATTCCTATCACCTAGCCTAGTGATGTCACAGCCATCATAGTATCATAGTGCAATGCATTACTTTTTTTATGTTTAGGTACACAAATACTTCCTATTGTGTTACAATTGCCTATAGTATTCAGTGTAGTAATATGGTAACAGATTTGTAGCCTAGGAGAAACAGGCTATACCATACAGCCTAGGCATGTAGTAGGGTATACCATCTGGGTTTGTGTAAGTACATCTTTGCACAAGATGAAATTTCCTCATGACTCATTTTCCAGAACATATCCAAGCCGTTAAGGGATGCATGATTGTATTTGTATCAGTATGCGTATATAAATATGCATATAAATAACTTGACTTCTGCTTTTTTCCATTTGCTATCTTGTAAACTTTTTCTTATACTATTCAAAATATTACTCAAATCTACAGTTAATGAATTCATCAATACTAACTTAGAGATACACTATAATGCGAACCATCCCCCTACAACTAGCTACACTGGCTAAGTGACATTTTCAATTATATGAGATAATGTTACTATCAACATCTGTTTATATATTCTCATTTATATATATCTGATTATTTAATTAGGACAGATTCCTGCATAATTAGTGGGTCAAAGGATATAAACATTTTTAAGGTTCTTGATCTATATTGCTAAATCACCTTCCCCAAAGGCACAAATTTACTCCCAACAGTATAAGCTATTTTACCATATTCTTACAGCTTTACATATTTTTTAAATTATCATTTAAAAAGTTTTAGCAATTTTGATGTGCCAAAAAAGACAATCATATAAATTTTTCCTCCATTTTTTCTATTAATTGTTGAAAGTGATTTGTCAATAAGTAACATTAACAATATCTGAACTTAAAATATCTTCAACAATAACCTTATAGGCTACATATTGGTAGTCACATTTTATAGATGAAGAAACTGAGATCCAGAGAGCATAAGTAATTAAGAATGTAGGAGCAACCTTACCCACCCAGCCTTCTGGAGCTGGACTGATGGGGGACAGCCACCTCTGAGGGGGACTCCAGTGCAGCACCGGGAGGTGAGGTGAAGTTAGGGCAGTGATGATGGGACTATTTATTACCGAGATTACTAAAATTACTGAGATTACTGGCCAATTACTAAAAGGCAAGCCATTTAAACTTTCTGAACCTCAGTTTTCTCATTTGTATAATGAGCACAAGAATCCTGCACTGCCTTCCTGTCGGAATTATTGGAAGACTGATCCTTTTATGGATTTGTTCTGGCTTGCAAAAAAATTTTTTTAACTCATTCACCCTCCTGGGTTATTTGCTCCCTTAGAGCCAAGAGATTTAGTGTAATTGATTGAATCCATTCTGATTTTTCTCCCTCATAAGTATTTTTAGAAAAAGGTGACAAAGCATTTTTGCAGCCAGTATGTCTTTTCAGAACGAGACATAAGTTTCTAGAACTGAAAAATTCCCTAAGGATTGCCTGTTTCATAAGGAAACTGTAGTCCTAGTGCTTGAGGGGAACAGTCTCACAGGAAGTCAGTGGCCACGAGGAAACTCAGGTCTCCTGGCGACTTCCATGATGGTACTGGCCACAATCTCTTGTATGTATATACGTTTCCCAGCTAAGGACAGTAGTATTTGCTTTAAATCAGGGACGTGTTAATAACACGGCTAATTTTGTCTAGAAATAACAAAGTGATTCCAGCTAATCATGCTCGTGTTGAGGAGGGGTGGCTTATGCAACAGCCAACAAAAGGACCTTTTTACTTCGCCACCACTACCCTAAAAAGTAAAAAACCAAAAAAGAAACAAATCAAAAAGCCAACCAGAGGACAAAGGTGCCTCTATAGTAGGTGGCAAAGGACAAGGAAGTGTTTTTTTAAATGCATGCATCTTTGATGGCAAGAAGGGTAATTATTTACTTAAAGCATATATTTACTTTTAAAGTCATTTTAGGTATGAAATGTAGGAAAGTTTTGAAGAAAAACATTTAAGCATTTAAGAAAGTTAAAATTTTAGGATTTACCATTTTTAATTTTTCTTAGAGAATGGGTCTTGCTCTGTAGCCCAGGCTGGAGTGCAGTGGTATACCTAGATAACTTTTTAAATTTTGGTAGAGACTGGGTCTTTCTACGTTGCCCATGCTGGTCTCAAACTCCTGGCCTCAAATGATCCTTCTGGCCTCCCAAAGTGCTAGGATTAGGACTGTGCCAGGCCAAGGGTCTGCAATTGATTCAATTTTCCTGCCTTTATTCCTGTTTAATGCTCATCCATAACATAAACTGGCAACATTGTATGAAGTATTTTCACATTCATCTTGAACAACCTTGTGAGGAGGATAGGGCAGGGACTACCATGAGAGGGTCAGAAAGATAACTTTTGGTTGCTCACAATAGTAGGCTGAGGGACAGACAACATTCTCTTGGGGGAAATGCATGACTCTGAGGGAAGCTGTCCTGTGACCTGCTTGCTGGAGGAGGCATCACATCTCATCATGCAAAATCAACAAACATTTATACACTCAAAATTGGAGAAATCAGCTGATATATTTAGGGATAACATCACAGAGATGGCCTGGAGCTTAGTTTTGGAATAGTAAAATTTAGAAGAGTTACCAATGGGGGCCTAATGTTATTGTGGAAAAGTTCAGAGGTGGGAAAATGTGTGGCATATTTGTGGGAGAGTGAGTAAACTAGTCTGGCCTAAAGAGCTCAACAAGAAAAAAAATTGAAAGTAAATCTAGAGACAAATGCCGGGGCCCTGAAAGCTGTCCATACTAAGCATCCTTAGTTGCGATAGGGAAGTGGAAGTCTTCAGTGAAAGGAATATGTGATCAACTGCTGCTTAGGAGGCTCATCTGGTCCATGTGTGCAGCATAGATAGGGCAGAGGCTGTTAGCAGAGACATCCAGGAATGGCATGAGGAACATCTGGGCAAGGCAGTGGTGTGGAGGTAAGTGGGGAACATTGATGGGAAAGTGGGTCCCTAGAGGGAAGTGATTAACGTGGTGACTGACTTGAGGTGGAAACTGGGAAAGAGGCAGGGGAAAAGGATGAGGTGATAAGTCATGAATCTGTGAAACTGTCGGAGCTACTAGTCTGGGCACTCTGGAGAGCTCAGGTGATTGCTAAGAGACAAAAGAAGATTTAGAAGATGTCCAGGGAGTAATTAGAAGTTTGCACAGGAAAACTATGTGGGGGAAGGTGGGGAAGAATGTAAAGCTACTGACGTAGATGTGTATAAACTTGAATTCAGATTTTGTGACTTAAATTCATATACTCTCTCCACTGTACCAAAGCTGCCTTGAGTCGACAATACTGATTACTTGAAAGGTTTTTTTCTTTAAAGAAGTTAAGAATTAAACAGTGTGAACTAAAATAAAGCTTTAGGCAATGGTGAGGAAGTTCTGAAGAAAATATAGGAGGAAATTCAAATGGAATGAAATGTCTTCTCATTCTCTTTCAAATTTACTATGGTATAAAAGCTCCTAAAAGAGAATGCTAGAATTACCCACTGTTTTGAGATGTCTGGTTCAATTACATTAAATCCTTACCAATAGTAAAGAAAGAAAAGTATCATATACATAATTGTGTAAAAAAATTCTTACAAACAAAAGTACATTGACATGTGGACCAGAATATAAAAATCCTATGTTGTTAAAAAAAAAAAAAAGCCAACAGCAAATACCAAATATATGAACAAAAAAGAGTTCAAATAATGCCCTCCATTTGGCTAGCTTCTTCAAGTGAAATTAAAGTGAATAAAAAGTACAAGTGACAATTATGGAATCACTTTAAGGGAGATAATGCTAGAAAGTAAGTATAGGTATTCTTAAAAATTGTTTCACCACAAAATTTAGTTTTAAAAATATCACTCCCTGCCCCCTTTTCCTGTGATTCTATCAGTTGTTTATTAACAAAGTGAATTATATATATTTAGACCACAGGTATTGAGTATCAATTCTAACCAGCTATTTCTTCTTTTATACAAGCGATAGTATATACGAGAATATATAAAATCATTACCTTGAGAATTTAGAGATAAGTTCTTTGACAAGGACCCTTCAAACAATGATGAGTTCTCAAGATGTTGCATTAAGAGACTGAGAAATTCTTGCTTTGATCCAGGATGCTCTCTTCCAAAGTTATCATTTTCATTAACATATGCTACTTCAATTGCATATGAAGGATTAAAGTTTTGATTTCTGAATCCATCTAAGGCACTATTCCAGATATTGGCTTTGTTGATATACAATCTTTTAGTTTTTTTTTTAATTTGGAATCCTAACTCTATCAGTATAGCAGAAATGTCTCTTCTAAATTTGCTGCCTTGCCTATAAAACATGAATTTAAACACAGAGGTAAGTACTTTAAAGTACTTTGCAAAACAGCAGTTACGTAGCCAATAAAAAAGAAGAAGAAAAAAAGATTAAAAGAATATTCTTCCCCAACTTCCACCCAAAAGCAAAACAATGGTTGCTACTGAAACCAAAAACCTTTATTTGACAATCTGAGTTTTAAATTCTTGATTCCTTACCCCAATATTCTACCAAATTAGAATCATTTATAAGAATGTTGACAGATGATCATCTCAAATTTGACCAATCAGTGGATTCAGGTTTAAGAATCAGAAGCTCAAACTCTCACCTTACTGGCCAACGACTTTTAGCTTGTATCATACTCACTATATCCTTTTTTAAAAAAGCAAATGTAATCGCTGCTTACTATATGAGAAATCCGGAGTAAGAGAGATTATATGATGTATTTTTAATCATAAAGTTATAATTAACAGTAGAGCTCATATTTTAAATGAATTCACAATCCCTTAAATAGTACCTTTTAGTCTAGACCAGAAAGTCTCAAAGTGTGGTCCCAGACCAGCAGCAGCAGCATCACCTGGGAACTTGTTAAAAATGCAAATTATTAAGCCCCACACCACATCTACAGAATCATAATCTCTGGGCATAAGGCCCAGCAATCTATGTTTCAACACTCCAGCTGATTGTATGGACTAGCTAAAAAAAAAAACCATTCACTCCCTACCTCAGTTTCTCCATCTGTAATTGGAATTAATGTACTCAACATAATCTCATTTTGAGCAATGCTCGTGGATCATCTTTCTATACCAAGTATGATTTGCCACATTTCAAGACATTATAATGCCTCAGAGAAAGCCAGGCTTATGCTTTTTCTTTATTCATATAATCCCCTCTTCATTAATCTAAGTTCAATAAAAAATAAAGTTCTTTGGAGATAAGATAATTCTTCAGAAAATACAACTTCTTATAGGAGGTTGATTCCTTGCTACTGCCTGGATAAGTGGAAATGCTGATGCTACTCTCGTAGAATTTGACTGCATACGCAGGAGCAAGGAGTCATGTTTCCCTGCTGTAACATCTTTGGAACTCTAACTATTAAAATTATTTAAAAATAATGCACACATCTTTTTGACACTAAAAGTATTATAACAATATTTATAACAGATTTTTTAGTTAACACATACAAGTAGTACATTAAAACAGCAATTCTTTACTTTTTGAAGAGTACTTGATATCCACCTGTCTGCAAATCCAGTTATCAAATATTTTCACAAAATTTCTCTTTTCCATTTTCTAAGTTTTTAAACTTGAAATTATTTTGGACAAGAAAGTGCTTTAACATGCCTAGCTACTAATTCTACTTTTCTACCTTTGCCCTATTGGGTAAAGCAAGGCTCTCTAACAATGCTTTTGTAAAGCTACATAAATATAAAAATCCTAAGTACAATAGAACAAATACCTGACACGTTATAAAGATAGAACTCCAGTCTTGTTTAAATGTTTATGATTTTGAAAGTTATTTATTTTTCTATCTTATGGAGATAGTTAATAACTAATGTGATGATACTTACAAATATGGGAAGAACTGAGAGTGACAATAAATACATTAGGCAAACAATGATTACAACATCAAAAAATAAACCATCTCTATATTAGCTAGGATTCTATTCTTAGAACAAAGTGATATGGTATGCCTGATATTTTAAATTCCTGTCTTACTCTACAATCAAATAACATTTTGAGCACATTTTCAGATCAGTGTTTTTCAAACTGTCTTGAAAATTATCTTTAATAACAAATTTTAAATCATGACTATGTACACAATAAAATAAGTCAGATTTCACATACATTCTTCCTACACTCAATACAATCTGATATTTTGTATTCTATTCTATCCCATTTCATATTTTTTTTAAATGCTGGTTGCAATAATTTCACAATCAAATGTTGGGTCCTGCAGTTTGAAAAACACTCTTTTAGACTACTGTATGATCAGTTAATATTCTAAGTGTATACAGCATTTCCTGTCATAATTTTTTCCAAATCGATTTTTACGTTTTTCTCCAATTCAAAATACACACCTTAGTAGATCTTTACTCTGGGCTCCAGGTGACTGTCTGGGTAATTTAGGTGATGACTCTTCCAATAAACAATCAGTAATTCCCACATTAGAGTTGGGTAATGCATGTTTTTTGGCTTTTTGGAACTCTCCTACAGATTTAAATTCCAATGTTAATAGAAATACACGTAAAAATGTAAATAAACACCTTTATTCAAAATTACAAAGTATTACCTGAATTGTAGATAATACCTCTACATTCCAAACACTCCCAATTTTCTTCCCATGATCGCAGTGAGGAACAGGCTAAATGTGTTCCACTGGAACCACAACACTGACATCGCTTTATTTCCCATTTGCTGAGGACATAAAGAAAAGTAGATGTTACATTTTGGTATTAGTCTAGTTTCAAACACCACCTCTGCTACACACACATAACCAATCCTTTAATCAAAGGAAATCAGATTATCTGCTCCTCTAAATATATTTTAACTTGACGTAAAAACATCAACTAATAATACCACCATATACACCCACATGCACGTACACAAAGGATATGAATTACTATCCTTTGTGTACGTAAGGGAGAAATGTAAAAAAAAAAAAAGAAATGATTAAAAAGGGAGAAAAAAATGATTAAAAGAATTTTTTCCTTTCCACTTGGAGATGACTATGCTTGCAAGGATATTGCTGTGTTGATGTGTCTGATATGGGAGAAGCTTTCAGTTAATTTCAATGTGAGGAATATTTACTAAAATAAGCTTGTTTAGACACCTCAGGTATTGTGTAGGTGAACAGGATCCAGACTTCCTACATGGCTCATATTCATATTCTCTGTTACTTATTCCCCCCCTCCATGTTTCCTCACTATGTTATGTGATATATGACAGTCCACATTCATATTTTTTATATGGATATGGTTGTGGGATGTGGTGTGCAGCTCTGTCCTCTTTGTGTGGGTATGAGTACATCCTCTTTGTATAGAAATGGATATAGCTCCCTAAGTGTGTGGAAGTGTGGGTTGCAAGAGAGGTATCCAGATACCCTCCTCACCACACAGATGTGTGTGTATCATCCCTCTGTGTGGGTATGGGTGTGTTGCTGTGTGTCCTCTGTGTGTGTGTCTCTTCCACTCCCCCAGATAGTTCTGCCCGCTGATAATGAGAAGGAAGAAAGTAGCTAACATGAGTGCTTATTGTACACCAGGCCCAGTTCTCACTCTTTACATTAAAAGTTTAAACCTTACAATTTTAGAAGGTAGAGAAGTTAAAACTTCAAACATCCTAAGAGTAACTACATTTCACTAACTAGAAAACCTACTTTCTCAGCTGATGGTTTAAATAGGAACCACTATGCACAACTGAATTTCCAGAAATACCTATCAGGTACATTATAGTCTCGCCCTTCTTTGCAACGACACCTTCGGACATCACAATGCTCATAGTGCTGCAGAAGCTCTTGATAAGCATTTTCCTCTAATTCCCAAGATGCATCTCTGTAAAAGCAGCAAGATATAAAATATACTTTAACCTATTATGTTACATAAAAGGATCAGTAATGAATCTTAGCAATAGGGATAAAGCTTGTCCTTTTTAGGATCATTCTCATCAAGACATAAATCCATTAGTGCCATCTTATCCTACAGTTAATTAGTCTCACAGTAAATTTTCAAATGCTAAATGAGAAATTAATCAGAAATTTTCTAGAACACATTTTCCCTGATATTTTTACTTCTAATTTTTAATTTCAAATTTACTATCATTTCTGAATTCCTTATCTTTAAGCACTAAGAAAATCCTCATACACTTTAAACCACATCTTGATTCTTTTGGATAATTTATACATACCATTTTGAAAACTATTGTAATTGTGCATAAATCAACCAATTAAAATTGGACACAGCTGAGGTACTTATTAAGAGATTCTAAACCAACTAATGAGACATTTATGTCACAGTCTCTGCTCTGAAATAACTGGCAATCTAGGGAGAAACAGGAGGCTTTACATTTCAACACTTGAAATGGCTAACTTCCATGATCACTCAATCAGACATAAATGATTATTTCTATTGCTATTAAATCCTACATTTAAAATATCTTTTTTGTAAAAAGGCTAAATGTTACTCACTTTTCAGGAATATGAATCCCCATTCTCAACATCTCTTTCTGAAAGATGTCACTATTGTTGCATATTGTACACCTAAAGAAAAATACTCCCGCATTTATTGCTTGAACCTGCAGTGGAAAACAGAAAATCTATTGTTAACAATTTAAGTCTGTTATCAGGTTATGAATTATATTAATGTAACACGAAATGTGCTATTTATCATTTATCATATTATGAAAACCTTTTCTATGCCAATGGGTGCTCAAAGTTTGTCCTTATAAACCAAGCTATCCCATTGCTAAAATCTGGGGATCTTTTTTACCCCAATAGTTAAAAAAAAAAAAATCAAACTAGTTTGATTTTTACCCCAATAGTTAAAAAAAAAAAATCAAACTACTGAACACTGCTCTTAGCTGTACATCCATTATCCATATATTTTTCTCAACCTTATGCCCTAGTGTTATTTCTGTTCCTAAATATTGTATTGTCCTCCAGTGTGAGAAAAACAGTGAAAATCTTGAGTTATTTCATCCAGGATAGATGTTTAAATAAGTTTTACATATATATCATCCCTGGTTCTGTTTTTAACTCAATCTCTAAGTCAGTTTTATTCCCAAAAAGGGTATAAGTATAAAATCTATTGCTACAGAAAATACAAATACATATGCACAAGAGGGTACTCAAGAAAACAGGAAACTATAAACATGCTAGAAAGATTAGCCAGTCCCCAATAAAACTAGCAGCACACATTCACTTAAAAACAGTTAAGCCCTACTTTATAGATGCCAAACACTATGCTATGTATCAAAAAAAGAAACATAACATATGGTTATGTGCCAAAAATAAAAATACATTGACTTAAGATTCTATCTCAAGGAATTCTAGTGAGTAGGCCTATAGATATATAGCTATACTATAGTATAAAAGCATGTGCTTTTTTTATTAAAGTATATACATCAAAGAAAGAGGAAGAAGTACCTAAGTATATACTGACAAATATGTCACAGGGATAGTAAGGCCAAAGCTAAATTTGGAAGAAGAAATAGAGGTGTGCCTAGAAAATAGGACAGAAGACATTCCAGGGATAAGGTATAAACATATATCAAGTCTCAGGGGAAAGAGAAAGTACAATTAATAATATACTCAGAGATTATATTCTGTCCAAGATGAACTAAGTAATGAGGATAAACAGGTAAGTCAAAGCCAGTAGTGTCAAGAATAAATTGATAGGAAATAAGTCACCCAGGAGAAAGACCAACTAGTAGGCTCCTACAAAAAAAGTGAAGTTAAAGCAAAGGGAGTAGGAATGCAATAAAAAGGATACATAAAAAATATTTATTAAGTAGACCTAATACACTAGGGGGAATGAAATGTGGATGGTGAAGAAAGAAGCGAATAAAGATGATTCTGGGTTCAGACACCTAGCAAGTGGCACTCCACCCACTCCACAGAGCATATGGGAGGGAAGCAACAAATTATTGAAATCTCTGAACCTAAAGGATCTTTAAACAATTGCAAACAGAAGCTAAGATCTTGCTAACTATAGAATATAATACAAGGAGGTATATGGTATGGAGGAAGAAACAGCATAGGATAAATGGAAGACACTAACAAGACTAGAGCAATGATGGAGAAATCCAATTGAACAATAATAGTGACAATTCTCTGGATACACAGAGTAGAAAGTTTTTACCAATTCCTTTCAAATTAATCTCTTGTCTCTTCTCATAGATTCCTAATGTATAGCACATGTAGTGGTTACACATAGTGACATTCATTTAACCACACAGAGCTATCTAGACTGGGCAGACTATACTATTTCAGTAAACACTGATACCAGAGTAGAAAAGCCACTGGAGATCCTTTAGATAAAGTGACTCAAGAATTAGTATGCTGTCTTAGTACGCTCTAATCAACTACCAATTGCTTATTGGTATTTATATCATAGATAGGTGTCCATGTGGATGTGATTTTAAATTTATTTGCATAAAGTAGACCTATTTTTTTTGTTAGTAATATTATTTCTACTTTTTTAATGAGAAAATTAAAAACTTAATAGTGTTCACAAAAAGCCCTAATGATAGTTGGTCAAGTCTGAGAACCTCTCTCTGCTTAATTATTAACATATAAATGAGGCAAATCTTATTTGCCTTGAAAAATAACATACTGTTACAAAATTAACAAGATGACATATTTGACAGCAATTATATTCATTCAAACACAAACCCCTAATTAAGGCAAATTACTTTTTAAAGATTCTCATATAATGCGAACTTCTTCCTCAATAGGTAAGGATAATACTTCATGATGTTGTTTATTAACTTCACTCTCTGGGATACTTTTATAAACATTTCTTTATAAGAGTTAACAGAATTTCTAATATTTCCTCAACAAAATAGGGTTCATCCTGCCACTTTTAACTGAATAACCCTAAGTATAAAATTTCAAGGCCCATACAGAAAAATAGAAAGTAAACATTCAAGCTTTACTACTTTTACTACTGTTAGTCCTTTAAAGACTATTGAAATATGAGAATTCACATCTCCTAACTTTTAAAAATTTGTTTGTGGGTAATTTGTGACCAACAACTTTTCATTTTACTAAGCAATAAAAAAAATCCAAGCTTTAAGAAACGGTATTAAACTTAAGTAAATCTTTCGTTATTTGTCATTCTCTTATGTCTATCAGATGGCTCTTTCACACATGCATATTACACATTTGGTGTTATTAATAACTGGTATCTTTAAAATTTTTTAGAGGATTTTCTTAATTTAAAAATTAAGTTGTTTAATGTTGTGTTTTTCTTTTATCATATTCTATTTACTTGAAAAGAAGCCATCGGGTTTAATACACAAGATGACTCTCAAAGAACCAATACTGTTAATTCATTGACAGTAATCAATTCCCTGTCAAGAAGTTATGAGAAAGTATTTATCATAGTTTAAAAAAAAAAGCCTCTAACATTTAAATAGCTTAGCTTGCTAACAAGCTTATTATCATTTCACATATCCTGGTTTTCCAGCTTAAATATGCAAATGGAACTTAGGAATTAAAATCTGCATTTTACTCATTGTGAAATATAAACACAATCTTTAGGTGAAAACAACAAAATTTCTAAGTATACATTAAAAGGTAGCATCTAATTTATTTATTCAAATGTTAATTGTACACTTAAATATGGTAAATTTTATATGTAAAATATGCTTCAAATTAAATGCTTTAAAGCTGTTTTAAAAAGTTACTAGTAAGAGCTAATATAGACATGTCAATTCTAATTTAAAATTTATATCAGCAAGCCACAAGTTTCATATCAATCAGAGAAAGCTTACAAAACATATCTTACCTGTAAACACTCTCTATGAAACCAAGCATTCTTACAACAAGGACTTCGTAATATGCTATAAGTTGGAATAGGCTCAATAAATTCCAAGCAAATGGTGCATGGTAAGGATTCTCTATAACTATTAGATGTAATGATTTGAACAGGTCGATGGTTCCAACAAAATGACCTAAAAATGTAAATTAGTTAAAAACAATAACTAATGAATTATAAGGCAAAACTAAGCTAGCATTATGATTCACATATATAAGACAAAATTCATTTGTACCTGTCTCAAAATTAACCTACAATATACTGTGAGCTTCGGCACTATAAATTAGTCTCACAAACTATGACCAAAGAGAGCAGGACCTTCAAAATGTAAACTTTTTGGTGACATTTGCCTCATACAGAAGTTCATTAACTAATATTAAGTTGAGAATTCTATGTAACATTGTTAGCAATGGAGTATATATTCTATTAAATTTAACAATTGAGTACATACTATTATAGTCAACACTGTATAAAATTAAAAGAGGCAGAAAGTTACACTTCAAAAATATTTTAATCCTATAACACATAAAATGCAAATAATAACCTATTCCTAATCTACCTAACCCAACTGCAATTTTCTTATATGGTAACAATCCATTAAATATATCAAGAGCACAAAGACTAAAAGAAATAAAACACTTATGAGATCAAATGCCAAAATTCTTAAAATCTTGATGTTTAAAGTTGTATTTAGGAAGCCAATATTTTCAGGGATATCCCGGGGCATAATACTTATTTTTTGGCCTCAACCAAGTTTACATAACTTCAATTTACTCAGTAAGAAATACTTACAAGCCTTGTGAAAGAAAAGTGAACAATAATTCTAAAGAGTGACATAAAAATCTAGAATTATGTAAGGTAGAGATTTTCACTGAATATGAATAAATTAATATTTCTATATCATATCCTGGACCTGAGAGCCAAAGGTGAATATTAATCATTTGGCCTATTCTCGATATGGCAATTCTCAAGACTTACTTGGCAGGCAGAAATGACCCCATAAAGGGATGGGGAAATAGATGTGTGTGTATTTATTTATGAGTATGTTTATACATATATATACTTGATGCAGATTTCAAACTCAGTGCAGCTTTAAAAAGAAACTTTACAAGGGAATTATAGCATTGGATTATCCATTTCCCACTGTTCCTTAATATTCACCTTTCATATTTAACAGTTAAATAACTCACGCAAAATTGCCAGTGAACTGGAAAATACATTCTTTCTGAAGTCCACAAGGGAAATGATAACTTCGTTTACATCGGGGGGCAACGCATCCAATTGAAGCACCAGTTTTCTTGCAAATACAACATTTCTAGGAAAAAATATGAAAATAGGGGCCACAACATATGAACTTTAGTACTATAATATGACCAAGGTATAAATGAATATTCCTTGTGGAGAGTCTGAAAATTATTTTCATCATATAACATCTGTGATAATAGAATATTAAAGAAATTTCCTAAAAAATCTGTTCTACCCAGAAACAATCTAAAGATACCAAATATTCACTCCCATAACAATTTTTGATAAAAGATAATCTAACATGGATAAGATAGAGAAGCTCCTTTTCCTTCCTATCTGCTAAAATATTTTAAGCTGAAAGGTTTATAAACATAATAGCTATAAATAAAAGCTATACATGAAAGTCTCATTGAAATCCTAAGAGAAAGCATATAAATTAGGAAATACCAAGGAGAACAGAAACACAATATGACAAACTGGTAAAAAATTGGCAAAAATCACTCTATCCTAAGCAAATAAAAAACCTGTAATGGACTGAATAGTGGTCCCCAAAAAGATATGTTCAAGTCTTAACTCCTAGTGCCTGTGAATGTGAACTTATTTGGAAATAGGATCTTTGCAGATGTAATTAAGTGAAGGATCTTGTGATGAGATCACCCTGGATTTAGGATCAAATGACTGGTGTCTTTATAAGAGAAAAGAGAGGGAGATTTAAGACACAGACATACAGAGAGGAAGGCCTATGAAGATGGAAACAGATTACAGTTATGCTGCCACAAGCCAAGGAAGATCAAAGGGTGCCAGTAGCAACCCAAAGCTAAGAGAGAGGCATGGGATGGATTCTTACTCAGAGCCTCTAGAAGGAACCAGCCTTTTTGAAACTTTGATTTAGAACTATGGCCTCCAGAATTTGAGACAATAGCTTTCTGGTTTTTATTTTTATTTTTTGAGACAGAGTCTTGCTCTGTCACCCTGAGTAGAGCACAGTAGCATCATTATAGCTCACTGCAACCTTAAACTCTTGGGCTCAAGTGATCCTCCTGCCTCAGCCTCCCGAGTAGCTAGGAGTACAGGTATTTGTCACTGTGCCCAGCTAATTTTTCTATTTTTAGTAGAGAGGGGGTCTCGCTCTTACTCAGGCTGGTCTTGAACTTCTGAATCTCTGACCTCAAGTGACCCTCCCACCTTGGCCTCCCACAGTGCTAGGATTAGGTATGAGCCATCATGTCCAGCCTTAGATTTGGTTTTAAGCAGTCAATTTGTTATGGAAGCTCTAGGAAATGAATACAGCACCAGTGGTACATAGACAGAACAGTGGTACATAGACAGAAAAACTATTAAACGAATCAACCATTAGTAAAATACAGATAAGTACTTAAAACATCTTGGAACCCTTAAGATGGTCATTATAATGGTCACTAATTCAGGAATTACCGAGTTACTGCTGACTCCTTTAAGCACCACCCAGGTCAATGGAGAATACTTGGCCAACCTGATACTCTCCCAGTGAACTGACAAAAGGAATTCTAGTTCTAGGTTCACAATGTACTCAAGAGAGGATTCAGATATTTTAAGAAAACAGTTACAGGCTGAGTATCCCTAATCTGAAAAGCACCAAAATCTGAAACTTTTTGAGTGCCAACATGACACTCAAAGGAAATGCTCATTGAAGCATTTTGGATTTTCAGATTAGGGATACTCAATCAGATCAGATGTACTCAGCTGGTATGCAAATATTCCTAAATCCAAAAACATTTGAAATCCAAAACACTTCTGGCTCCAACCATTTCAGATAAGGGATACTCAATCTTTAGTTCCAAAACCCTAAGGGGACCCTTTAGAGACTACCCTTACAAGCTCACTCTCATCAAGACATTCAGAAATTTTGACACTAATATCCTTACATGGTCCTTAGATTTGTACTAACCTTTCTCACAAGGTTTTCCCTGTGCCCTAGAGCCTCTTTGTTTGTTTGTTTACCATCAACTCCCCTGACTCTTTAACATCTTAAAAAAATAATTGCCTCCACTAAATGTTTCTATATGCTTCCCTTGTAGATCTCTTGAATGAAGCTGCTTATTTTCCCATCCTCCTTAATCTTCAGCCTTGACCTGGGTCAGAGTGGGACATAAACAGGGGCAGGAAGGGGAACAAAAATATTCTTTTAGTTCTCTGTTACAGATTGCAGGCCACTATTCTATCTTTAAAAATACAGACCTTTGAGCCTAATAACATCTACACTTCCTGTTATCTACTAACTTCCCAGTCACTCCACCACCTCAATACTTAGCACCTAGATAATAGTCTCTGTATTTTAACTCTTGCTATCATTCTAAATAACCTCAGCATTTATGGGACAACCTTTCTTTGAATTTTTCAGCTATAATGTATCAATGCTCCTTATTACTACTCCAGTGTAATGACAAATCCTTCATCATCCAAATTGCTTCATCATGGAAATCATCAATTACATATACTCTGAACAGAACTCCCTATACTTCCAACCTTTTGATTCTCTCTCATTATTTCTACTCAGACCATATGGAAACCCTCCTTGAACATAGAAGAGTAGCTAACATATAGGAGATTCACAAATGATGACTGAATGAATAAGAAGACAAAGTTTAGAATACCTATCTTGAAGAACAGGAGAGGTCACTGAATACAAGCACACAATGTCACAGAAGGGCCACAAAAGTTATGGAGATCATAAATTACCAGTCTGCATAGCTGTGTAATTTCTACCTCAACCTATCATTCCAACCTCAGCAACTAAGACATAAGAATAAAGGAGTAAATGGTGGAGTTGATTCAGTATTGAAGGTTTGCAGAGTCACAGTGTGGAGCCATGGTCATAATTCTGAAGGTAAAAGTTGGTGAAATGATGGATATATTGGAATAAGATGAGGAAGTGAAGTCAATATTCTCACATGTATTGTATCCAGGGTTAGTGAAGCTCTCTTTCATTTGTAAAAATGTAAAATGTTCTTCTAAAAACTTATCATATTTGACAAACATATGCATTGGAACATAAAATTAAAGTCATAAATTCCTAATATAGAAACTGATTGAAAAGACTTCTCAAGTATTGACAACACTTATGGTATTTAATGTTATGAGTAAAATAATTTCCTTACCAGTTTAGAAGCTCTATTTACTTCCTTCCTGATGTCTTCAATTAGAAAACCATAAACTCCTTCTTCTTCTTTACCTCTCTGCCAAATTCCACTGGACATTAACTATGAATATAATCTCAGTTAGAAAATAGACTCTAAGAAACTAGTTTGGAATTAAAAATATATACCTATAATATTCACTCCAATAAAAAATGGACATAAAATGACTCAAATTTCAAGTGCCTATCTATAATAGTTATTTTTCACAGTCAAAGTGAGAGAGTCTACTCATATTGTTTGATTTGGAGGACACTGTATATTAATAGCTTGTATACCCAAACTGGTTTCTAAAAGTATTCCAGGAATTAACAAGAAAAAGAAAAAAAAGTAGGACGGAAGGAAGGGTTTGGGTAGCTGGATTGGAGGGAGGAAAAAAGAGAAAGAACACTTACAATTAAGTTTTAGATAAATGGGAGTAGTAAATACAGATGGCGACAATTCAGATTATCTGTAATATTTCAGGCTAACTTTAAATCTAGCTGAATACTGAATCATAAACGGCATTATTGTATCCCAAGAATGGAAAAACAAGCACCACATATATTCACCAGCAAACTGGTATTAACTGAGTAGCACCTAAGTGGACACATAGGTACTACAGTAATAGGGTATTGGGCAGGGGGGAGGGGGGTGGGTATATATATACATAATGAGTGAGATGTGCACCATCTGGGGGATGGTCATGCTGGAAACTCAGACTTGTGGGGGGAGGGGGGAAAGGGCATTTATTGAAACCTTAAAATCTGTACCCCCATAATATGCCGAAATAAAATAAATAAATAAATACAAGTTTCTACATATAAAAAGTTTTAAAAAAAGGGCATTATTTACAGGGAAATCTACTAAATTCTAGTTAACAGAAATGTTTGACTTTTAAAAAGTCTTATTTAAACTTCATACTTATTAATAAATATGTTAAAGTCTGAATCCAGAAAAAGCATGGAATATGAATAAGAAATTCTGGTTTACTAGCCTAACTTGCAAATTAGGCTCTGTGCCTAATCTTCTGGAACCCTAGGAAAATAATTTAACATCTCTAACTTTAAACGTGAAAGTAAAAACATTAGATTGTATTTAAATCTCTTCCAGTAGTAGTATTCTATTACCATTTGTAACATTACTATCCTTTCCTATTCATAATAAAATAGAATATTAAAAGAGTTGAGTCCTTTTTTTAAAGTATTATATTCATTTAATAAAATAAGACATAATATAAGGAAAATTTTGATATGTATTAATTTATCTACTTAAATGTATTAAATAATACAAAAATACTTTGGAGTAAATTAGTGATTAAAAGTTTAGAGAAAAACAAAAGTGATACATATTACTTAAGAATTAGTTATGAAAAAAAAACCAATCTGCTAACTATTAATAATAAAATAGATCTCCTAATTCTAACTGCATAAAATATAAAATAGGCCAGGTGTAGTGGCTCACACCTGTAATCCTAGCACTTTGGGAGGTCAAGGCGGGAGGATTGCTTAAGGCCAGGAGTTTGAGACTAGCCTGAGCAAGAATGAGACCCCATCTCTACAAAAAATAGAAAAATTAGCTGGGCATGGTGCTGCATGCCTGTAGTCCCAGCTACTCAGGAGGCTGAGGCAGGAGGATCACTTAAGCCCAGGAGCTGGAGGTTGCATTAAGCTATGATGGTGACACTGCACTCTAGCCCGGGGTGACAGAGTGAGACCCTGTCTCAAAAACAAATAAAAAGTAAATTAAACTGTTACAAAAATGAAAAGATTTTCTTCCGTGCTGCAAAATATAATAGACTCCAACTTACAAACATATTTACAATGCCAACTTCATTTTCTCTTAAGGCATGCTATAAAAGTGATTAGATTCCTATGCCAGTCTACAAGTCTAATTAATCCACAGGATACCTGAGACACAAAATTAGTCTTAGAGAACCAAGGAATATTTTTTTTTTTTTTTTTTGAGACAGAGTCTCGCTTTGTTGCCCAGGCTAGAGTGAGTGCCATGGCGTCAGCCTAGCTCACAGCAACCTCAAACTCCTGGGCTCAAGCAATCCTCCTGCCTCAGCCTCCCGAGTAGCTGGGACTACAGGCATGTGCCACCATGCCCGGCTAATTTTTTCTATATATATTAGTTGGCCAATTAATTTGTTTCTATTTATAGTAGAGACGGGGTCTCACTCTTGCTCAGGCTGGTTTCGAACTCCTGACCTTGAGCAATCCGCCCGCCTCGGCCTCCCAGAGTGCTAGGATTACAGGCGTGAGCCACTGTGCCTGGCCTGAACCAAGGAATATTTTAGGTGGTTTCTCAAACAAGTATTGAAAGGGTTTTTTTTTTTTTTTTTTTTTAACATGGATCATGTTTTAAAAATATGTCCACAAATTTGTTGATACTGCTTCCTTCAAAAAGTGCTTAATTCCCCTCTCCTTGAGTGTGGGTTAGACATAATGACTCACTTCTAAAAGAATAAAGCAAAAGTGACAGTGATGTGTCACTGTGATAACTAGGTTATTTGGTTCCATCTTGGTGCATCTCTCTCTGTCTCTCTCTCTTTCTAAGATCACCTGCTTTGGGAGAAGCCAGAAGCCATGCTGCCCTAGAGAGGTAGCCTTAGTGAGTGGCCCAGGTATAAGAAGCTGAGGCCTCCTGCCAACACCTAGGAGGAACTGAGGCCAACAGCCACGTGAGTGAGCCACTGGAGGTGGATCCTCCAGCCCAGTAAAGTCTTCAGATGTAATCTGACTGACATCTCTCGACTGTAACCTCAGGAGATTATGAGCCAGAACTATCCAGCTCAGCCAATACCAGATTCCTGACCTTCCAATATTGTGTGAGAAAATAAATGTTTATCTGCTAAATTTCTGAATAATTTGTTAAGTAGCAATAGGTTACTAATACAGTGTCAAGAAACATTTAGTATACTAATATAACCTTGGTATGCTAAGGTAATAATATACCACTAATATCTTAAGTCACAGATTCAGTTAGGTGAGAAATTGGTGGAAAGTGGGAACAAAGGAGGGACAATGTCAGTATGAAATCATTCTTTTGCTTTTTTCTGAATGATCCTATATCCTTTTCCACAAATATTTATTACCTTTAGCTAGAACTTTTCTTTCCAGGTTTTCTGTCAAATAAAATAAAATTCTTTTCTCTTACTCCCTGGACCTTCAAAACAAGTATTTTCTGAGATTTATCACTAGCAACAAAGGAAACAAGAAAGTGGTAAAAGAAACACCTCCCTCTATTTTCTCCTTTTCGAATGTAGGCCCTAAACAAACAAAAACAAATTGGTAATGAGTACAGGTCTTTCAGAATTTTAGAATTTTAGAATTTAATATAAAAAAAATCCTATTTTTACATATATAGGTAAAATGAGATCCAGAGAAGTTAAATGACTTATCCAATTCTCAGAAATCAGTATCAGGATCTAATTCTCTTCTTTAGAACACCAAATTTCTAGAATTATAAATTATACTTACCAAACAATAGTAATGTACAGTGAGATTCCATTTCTCATAAGTTTTCTTTTCTCCATATTTATTAGGACAGTCATCATTTTTTCGACAGAAAACACAAGCTAATGGTGAAAAAGTAAATATAGATATAAAAAATTAAAAAAACTATAGAATTTGTGCTTTTCTCAATTTCTATGTTAAAATTCTGAGAGCAAATCACATTACACTGCTATCAGTAACTTGAAATTTCCAATACCTACTTCTAAAATAATAATGTAATTTTACATTTTTCTTTAGTCTTTAATGATAAATTCTAGTGTATAGTTAAAATGGCAACTTGTGGGGTAACATCACTGAAGCTGACAGACTAGGGAACTACAAAACTCCATTCTTCCACTAAAGCAATGATTAAACTGCCAAAAACTGTCAGAATCTAATTTTAAAAAAACTTACAAATTTAGGAGAATGTTTAATGAAGAAAGAAGCTGTTAAATTTTAATGACAGCATTTTAACTTACCCATCTACCATTCCCCACTCCCCAGCAGGGCAGTGGCCTTGTGGTGGTCGTGTCCCTGGTGTGGATTACTGGTCCAACAGTGAGCAATATGGACCTTGATCTCAAAGAAATGTGATGGTGTGTTTTTATTTGTATAGTGGTTCTCTGAGTGATGGGCTCAGATGCTTGCCTTTCTTTCACCTTCCTCAAAACTTTCTTAGGGCTGGAGCCTCCATTATTTGTCAAAAAGTACTTAAAACAAACATATTAGCTATAGCAGCTTAGGGCAAGGGATACAGGCAGGGCAAGTAGCTGACAGATGAAAATATCTAGGAAAGAAGAGACTGGGAAAAGGGGATACACTGGGTAATAAGGGTTTTGAAAAACTCCCACATATTCTGGAGAAACTAGAAGATCATGTGCATGCACAGGGAAGTAATACACGCTCAGAAAAGACCTGAGAAATCTGAAGCTTTCACTTCTGGCTGATCTTTAGGCTGAGGCAAGCCTATATTAAAAAAGAAAGATCCCAAACTGATAATCTAATTTACACCTTAAGGAACTAGAAAAAGAAGAGAAAACTAAACCCAAAGTTAGTAGAAGAAAGAGGGGAAAAAGATTACAGCAGGCATAATCAAAATGGAGAATACAACAACAGAGGGACTCAATAAAAACAAAACTTGATTCTTTGAAATGATCAACAAAGTTGACAAACCTTTATCTAGACTGAGAAAAAAAACCTTACACAAGCTACAGTAATCAAAACAGTGTGGTACTTGGATGTACATAAAGTTCAACAGAAAAGAAAAAAGAGTCCAGAAATAAACATAAATACCTATGGTCAACTGATTTTTGACAAGGGTGTCACAACCATTCAATGGGGAAGAACAGTCTCTTTAACAAATGGTATTGGGATAACTGGATAAACACATGTAAAAGAATATAGTTGAACCTATACCTCATACCATACACAAAAATTAATTCAAGACAGATCAAGATAGCTGGGTGTGGAGTCACACGCCTATAATTCTAGCACTTTGGGAGGCTTAGTTGGGAGGATCGTTTGAGCCCAGGAGTTCAAGACTAGCCGAGGCAATAGTGAGACCAGCGTCTACAAAAAGTAAAAATTAGCTGGGCATGGTGGTGCATGCCTATAGTCTCAGCTACTTGAGAGGCTGAGGCAGGAGGACTGCTTGAGCCTAAGGTCTGCAGGCTGCACTGAGCTATGATGATGCCACTGCACTCTAGCCCAGGCAACAGAGCAAGAGTCTGTCTCAAAAAACCAAAAAACAAACAACAACAACAACAAAACAACAACAACAAAAAACCCCACAACAGATCAAGGACCCAAATTTAAGAGCCAAACTGATAAAATTCTTAGAAGAAAAGATATAGGCAAATCTGCATGACTGTGGATTTGGCAATGGTTTCTTAGAGTTCACATGATATCAAATGCACAAGTAACAAAAGCAAAAATAGATGAATTGGACTTCATTAAAATTTAAAACTTTTGTGCCCTAAAAGACACTATCAAGAGAATGAAAAGACACTCTATAGTATGGGAGAAAATATTTGGAAACTACATATCTGATAAGGGTCTAGTAGCCAGCTTGTGTAAGACACCCATACAACTTAACAACAAAATTACAAACAACCCAAAATAAAAGCATGCAAAGGATCTGAAAAAACATTTCTCTAAAGAAGATAAGCACATTAAAAGGTACTTAATATCATTAGTCATTAGTCAACAGGGAAATGAAAAGCAAAATCACAATGAGATACTACTTCACACCAATGAGGCTAGCTATAACCAAAATGTCATAAAATAACAAGTGTTGGCAAAGATCTGGAGAAACTAAAACTCTCATATATTGCTGGTGAAAATATAGAATGGTGTAGCACTTTGGAAAATAGTCTGGCAGTTCTTCAAAAATTAAACACAGAATTACCATATAACACAGCAATTCTATTCCTGGGTATATATACCAAAGAACTGAAAACAGATGTTCAAACAAATACTATACACTAATGTCCACAGCAGCACTGTTCACAATAGCTAAACCAGAAACAAACCAAATGTCCATCAATGGATGGATAAAAGGATGAATAAAATATGGTACATCTATACAGTGGAATATGAATAAAGTACTAATTCATGCTGCAACGTAGATAAGACTAGAAGCATTATGCTTTGTGAAAGACGTCAAGCACAAAAGGCCACATATGATTCTATTTACATAATGAATTATATTATCCAGAATAGGTAAATCCACAAAGACAGACAAAAGACAGATTGGTGGTTTCCAGAGGCTGAAAACAGGGAAAATGAGGAATGACTGCCTAAATGGGCACAGGGACTAAATAACTGCCCTGGAGGGTGATAAAAACGTTCTGGAACTAGATAGTAGTAATAGTTTTACAATATTGTAAATGTACTAAATGCCACCAAATTGTACCCCTCAAAATAGTTAAAATTGTGAATTTTATGTGTATTTTATCCCCACCCCCCAAAACACACAAATACAACTTGTAGAGTCAGGGAGATCTGAGTTAAGACTTGATGTATAGCATGACATTTGGAAATGTGGAATGGCTAAATGGAGTTCATTATCATACGTATTACATGCTTATCATTTATTTGTGGTGACAACACTTAAAATCTACTCACTTAGCAATTTTCAAGTATAAATATATCATTATTAACAACAGCCATCAAGTTGTACAATAGATCTAGCTTATTCTTCCTTTCTAACTGAAATTTTCCCAATCTCTGGTGCCTCCTCTACCCTCCCACCCCCCAGCTTAGGTAACTACCATGCAACTCTCTGCTTCTATGAGTTTGACTTTTTTGGATTCCACATGTGAGATAATGCAGTATCTTCTGTGCTTGGCTTATTTATGACTCCATTTCCTCCTTATAAAAATAAGGACAACAACTGTACCTACCTCAAACTATGCCTTAATGATGACTAAATAAGAAAGTATATATTTAAATAATTAACAGGATGTGACATATAGACAGAATTGAATAAATGGTAATATTGTAACTACTAATCTCTTTTGTCTTCTGTTTATTTGTCCAGAAAATTTTTTTTTTTTTTTTTTT